CAGGCGGATTGCAGGTCACTGATGGGGGACTTGCAGGTAGCAGCTGCTCGTCAGTGCCTCCCTCTGCCCTCCTACCGCTTCGTTAAGCCCCTGGGGAGCAATTAGTGTAACGGTTGCTTAATGAATCTGGGAGATCGTGGAAGAGGAGCACCAGGTGGGCCAGGCTCTTGCTTTGCTGCCGGAGCAAACAGCCCTTCTCAGAGGCCAGGTTCACCAAGGAGACTTCCACAGGGTGATTTAATCGCCGCCCAACGCCCAGGATGTGGGAGCAGAGACCCTGGTGCCTGGGGGGGGCTTTGCAGAAAACCAGCAGAGCCTTAAAGCAAAGCCCCCACCCTGCGTCCTCCTGCATCGCAGGAGGTGAGGGAGCTGTTGCTCCATCCCTCCCTCTCAAAAAGGGGGGCTCCGATGTCCCCGCTAACACCCCCCTCATTGCCACCGGTGCCTTGTATTGCAGCCACCCGTGCGAGATGCCAGCAGCCCTCTCCTCTCTCTTGCAGGGCCACCCATCATCTCCAGCACCCAGACGCAGCATGCCCTCCACGGCCAGAAAGGGCAGATCAAGTGCTTCATCCGCAGCACCCCGCCACCAGACCGAATTGTGAGTAGCGTCCCATGGGGCATGGTGGGTGCCCACGCACCTTAGGGTGCCCTGTGGTGGGCAAACCTGCCCCAGGCTGACCCCTCCCTTGCTTGGCAGGCTTGGTCCTGGAAGGAGAACGTCCTGGAGTCTGGGACCTCCGGGCGCTACACGGTGGAGACAGTCAGCACGGACGAGGGTGTCATCTCCACGCTGACCATCAGCAACATCGTCCGGGCTGATTTCCAAACCATTTACAACTGCACCGCCTGGAACAGCTTCGGCTCCGACACGGAGATCATCCGGCTCAAAGAGCAAGGTGGGCATCGCTGAGGAGCCGGGGGGGCTGTCGGGCAGCGGGAATTAGGACCTGACCGGGCTGTAAGAGCGGGGAGATGCCGTGAGAGGCAGGAGATGCTCAGAAAAGCTCTTGGGATGGCAAAGAGGAAACTAAGGAAGGGCGGTGAAAATGTTCCAGATGTGCTAGCTGTAGGATTGCGTCCTTAGGGTACCTGGTCCTGGCAGAGGGGCAGGAGGTGGGACAAGCCCTCCGAAGTCTCTGCCTGGTACAGTGTTGCCCCATTCTGCCAG